GCGCGGAGGGGCCGTGGTGGTGCACCCTCGACGCATGCAGCTTCGGCCAGCATTAATGTGGCCGTCGGAAAAGGAGACTTCCCCGGCACATGCTTCGGCTGTGGGAAGCAAGGGTACCGACATTTCGAGTGCCCCTACTGTAAGGACAAGCCTTACACAAAACGCGCCGATGCGCGGGCTACGGTTGCCTCGGGTTCGACCCAGGCAGCGACAAGCGCCCCTGTCGCTTCATCCTCGGCGAGTATAAGCGCCGCTTCAGCGAAATCGGAAAGTTCCGAGCTGGCGGACTTAATAGCACAGATGAAGTCGATGCGCGAGGAGTTGGAGCACTACCGAGCGCTCAAGGAGGAGTCTTTTTGATCCGGTCCGCGCTTTGTGCCGCACGTGTCGGGCCGCGTAATAATAATCTGTACAATGTATTGGCGACCGCAAATGTGTACGAATTAGACCATGGGTCCCAACATTTCCACATCCCGGTGCGCCTTAAAGGAGAAAGACAGCACAAAGATATAGTTGCAATGGTGGACAGCGGAGCCACTACGAAGTTCATCAACAAGCGTTTCATCACAGAGAATCGAGTACGAACGCGGAAATTGAAAGAGACAATTCCGCTTTACAATATCGATGGAACGCTCAATAAAGACGGAAGCATCTCGGAGGTAGCCGTGCTACAGATGCAGATAGGAGAACACGTCGAGAAGACGGTGTTTACGGTCACGAACATCGGTCCAGAAGACGTAATCGTTGGGTTGGATTGGCTGCGTGAGCACAACCCTGAAATCGATTGGGAGAAAGGCTCCCTCAAATTGTCGCGATGCCCTGAAACATGCAGTGCCAGGAGGACTGGCCGAATGGAGCAAGCAACGACTGCGCGTGATACGGGGGTCAGGCCCACGGCGCGCAGACGTTCGCCGAAGTCCAAACGGTCGGTCATAGGCGCTTGCCGGAGTAAGGTACTCCCGGACTTCGAACCCGAAGAAGATCCGGCGGAAGTAGAGTGGGACGAAGCTGATTTGATCGAAGCCTGGGAGCAGGGTGTCACGCTTCCCGGCGCCCCTCAGCTGTTCGTCGCAGCAGGGCACACGTATTCCCAGCTGTTCGCTGAGGAAGAGATCAAGAAGAAGGTCGTCAAGACCGCCGAAGAGTTAGTACCTAAACAGTACCACGAGTTCCTGAACGTCTTCTCCAAAGAAGCGTCAGAACGGCTACCCGAAAGGAAGCCTTATGATCATGCGATCGAACTCGTGCCTGGCTACTCGACGTTCCACTCGAAAGTGTATCCCCTGTCAAACAACGAACAAGAGGAACTGGACAAGTTCCTAAAAGAGCAACTAGCGAAAGGCTACATACGGGAGTCAAAGTCACCCATTTCGTCCCCCTTCTTCTTCATCAAAAAGAAGGAAGGGACGCTTCGACCTGTACAGGACTACCGACGGCTGAACGCGATCACCGTCAAAAACCGCTACCCTTTGCCGCTTATCGCCGAGATGGTAGATAAGCTCCGCGGTGCCACGCTCTTCACAAAGTTCGATGTCCGATGGGGATACAACAATGTCCGGATCAAAGCCGGTGACGAATGGAAGGCGGCCTTTGTGACTAACCGAGGGTTGTACGAGCCCTTGGTAATGTTCTTCGGTCTCACCAATTCCCCCGCGACCTTCCAGGCGATGATGAACGAGATCTTCCACGATCTCATTGTCGGTGGCAAGATCCTCGTATACCTTGATGACATACTCATCTTCTCTACCAACAAGGAGGAGCACGAAAAAGTCACACGCGAGGTTCTTCGTCGCCTTCAGGACAACGATCTGTTCCTGAAGCCTGAGAAGTGCGAATGGGACGTTCCCAAGGTCGACTATGTCGGCTATGTGTTCGGTGGCGATGAGGTAGCGATGGATCCCGCGAAGCTAAAAGGAATTAATGAGTGGCCGGTACCCCGGAACAAAAAGGACGTTCAGAAGTTCTGGGGGTTCTCCAATTTCTACCGCTGCTTCATTAAAGACTTCGCTAAGATCTCGCGACCACTCAACCGGCTCACAGGGAATGACCCGTGGCGTTGGGGTGAAGAGGAGCAGCACGCCTTCAATGAGCTCAAGCGGCTCTTCGTGACGACTCCAGTCCTAGCACTGTACGATCCTAACCGAGAGACACACATTGAGGTTGATGCCTCGGGCTACGCCACTGGCGGCGTGTTGATGCAGAAGCAGGACGACGGCAAATGGCACCCTATCACCTTCAGATCTCACGCTATGGACCCTGCCCAGCGTAACTACGAGATCTACGATAAGGAGATGCTCGCAATCATTGAGGCACTAGACGATTGGCGCCACTATCTCGAGGGGTTACCCAATCAGTTCGAGATCGTAACCAATCACAAAAACCTCGAATACTGGCGCACGTCCCAGCACCTCACGCGTCGTCAAGCGCGATGGTCGCTATTCCTGGCTCGCTTCGACTTCCGCATCACGCACAAGGCCGGAACGTCGAATGGAAAGGCTGATGCCCTGTCATGACAATCAGACCATCAGATCGGCGATGAGGACGATAACACCGATCAGGTGGTTCTCAAGCCGGAGCGCTTCCGCATCGCCTCCGCCAGGCGCAGTCACGCCTCGGTGATGGCCGACCAGTCGCTTCTGAAGCGCATCAGGGAATGTTCAGAGAAGGATCGGGAGGTGGCCGAGGCACTTGAAAAGGTGCAGGACCTCGGACCGCCCCGGCTTCAAAGGGGCTTTGAGGAGTGGATTGCCGAACAAGGGCTTCTGCTGTTCCGCGGGTGTGTGTATGTCCCAAAGAACGCGGAGCTCCGGCGGGATATCGTTAAGATCCACCACGACTCGCCGATTGCCGGTCATGGCGGCCGTGCCAAAACCCTGGAGCTCGTGTCGCGGAATTACTGGTGGCCTGAGATGTCCAAATTCGTCAATGAGTACGTAAGCACCTGCAACGTGTGCAACCGTACCAAGACATTCCCAGCCAAACCCCAGGGTCCGCTGAAGCCGAATGAGATCCCCAAGCGCCCATGGCAGATCATCACGACCAACATGATCGTCGGCTTGCCAAAGTCTGATGGATTCGACTCGATCCTGGTTACCGCCGACCACTTTACCAAGCAGGTCCACTTCTTGGCCTGTCATGAGACCCTGACGGCAGAAGGTGCGGCAGACCTGTACATCCGCGATGTGTTCAAGCATCATGGGGCCCCGGCCAAGGTCATATCAGACCGAGGTCCCCAGTTTGCTTCAAAATATCTCCATGCGGTGTACAAGGGACTAGGGATTGAGCCAGCGCTGTCCACAGTGTTCCACCCTCAGACGGACGGCCAGACGGAGTGCTGGAACCAGGAAATCGAACAGTACCTGCGTGCTTTCACAAACCATAGGCAGGATGATTGGGCAAAGCAGTTGCCGCTCGCGGAATTCGCACTGAACAACCGAGTTCACTCCGCGACCGGGCACTCCCCTTTCTACCTGCATCAAGGGTACCATCCTGAGATCCAAGTGCGGATCAATCCGATGTCCACGATGCCCGCTGCTGCGGATCGGCTCAAAATCCTGAAGGAGATCCGCGACAATACGCGCTCTGCGCTCGAGCTGTCAGCCGAGCGTATGAAGGTGTACTACGACAAGCACATGCAGGAGGCACCGGTCTTTGCGCCGGGGGATAAAGTCTAGCTTGATGCCTGGAACCTTAAGCTGAAACAGCCGAGCAAGAAGCTCAGTCCCAAGCGCCTTGGACCGTATGCCGTGCGGCAAAAGCTAGGAGACTTGGATTACAAATTAATCCTGCCAAAGTCGGTGCCGGTGCACCCGGTATTCCATGTCTCCTTGCTGAGCAAGTACACGCGTAGCGATATCCCGGGCCGAGAGCCGGAGGAGCCGCCTGCAATCGAGGTTGAGGGCGACGAGGAATATGAGGTTGAGCGGATCAAAGATTCGAGGATCTTCCGGCATCAGCTGCAGTACCTCGTCAAGTGGAAGGGTTATGACGACTCGCATACGTCATGGGAACCGGCGCGCAATGTTGCTAATGCGCCGGCCCTCATAGCCGACTTCCATCGGAAGAACCCGAACGCCCCTCGCCGCCTCAATGCTGCTACATTTGGTGGTCTCAACTTCCACCCGATGCCTTCGCCATTGACTGAAGCACGTTGCCGCTCCGGGTGGGAGATGGGCAAGGGCGCCTCGCATGAGGTCATGCGCCGTTGAGGGGGGGGTAATGTCACGAGTTGGCACGGCGTCTAGCCATTTTTTTAATTTTTCCTTTTCGCGGGCTCGAACCCGCGACCTCTGTACTACCTGCCTGATACGGACACGTCGTTATCTACTGTACGATAAGATTAGATGGGGCGGCAGTGCGCGGCACAGCTCGGGCTCCGCTGACACAGCCACTCTGACTCACCGGCCCCCGAGGCCGCGTCGGCATGCTGTGCACGGACCAGCTGCACACGGACCAACGCGCACAGCCTGCCCTAATCTCCCCATGTATATAAACGCCTCTGCTGCCCTAGGGACCTCAGTTTCGACCTCTTGTCCCTAGGTCAGTAAGCTCCTGTATTCTCTTACTTACCTTACACTAACTAATATATTCTTGTCCCTAGCCTTAGGTTTGAGCTTCGCTCACCATCGCTTCGGTGAGAACCAGTCGGACGCCCCTCACTTTTAGATATTTCCCTGTCGCTTGACCTCAAGTTGCGACAATCCTCCTGATTCGTAGGAGGGTCCCGCCTGCATATCGATGCGATTGATGAGGGGGGGAGCAGGGTCGGAGATACAATCGAGCAACTGTTGCTTCTTGAAGAGATGCGCGTGAAGTGCAAGCTCCTCGATGTCATGTTTCGCTTTTTCAGCGCGTTCAGGGTTGAAGGGGCGGCGAATGAGTGGTTTGATGGTGGGGCGTACAATTCGGCGAGGTTTGCCAACGTTGTCGAACTTGTGCGTGTTGTGGATGGCAATACGCTCGAGCAGGCCTGTCGGCTCATGCTTGGCAGTGACAATGAAAGGTTTGGCTTTCGGCATGGCTACGGCAGAGGAGATTAGATAACAGCTTTTCAGCTAGCTCTTTTCAGAGCGAAGAAAAGGGTATGTGCTATACTACAGGGTCCATTGGTCGTGCTTCGTGTCGGCGTCCTCCTGCTCTCTCTCAGCAGGTAGGGAGGGGGGAATACAGATCTCAGTCGGGTTTCCACGCCTGCTGCAAGTGGTTTTGGGAG